GAAGGATTCGGCGATCGGGAAGATAGGGGAGTACAAGGATGCGGCAGCCGAGAAGGCGAGGAGTGCGATGGACTATCTTACGGGGAAGAAAGAGGAGACCAAGCAGAAGACTGCCGAAACTGCTGAAGAAGCAAAGGTGAACACAAATCTTTATCCATTGGACAGGGAAAAAAAAAGAAAACTTAATTAACTATCTAAATCCTGTTTTATCCCAGGAGAGGATGGGTGCAACGGAGGAATCGACGAGACAGAAAATGGAAGGGTTGAAACTCCGGGCAAGGGACGACAAGGAGGAAGCCGGGCAGAAGGCTGGGGAAGCCAAAGAGACTGCAATGGAGAAGTAATAATCGATCACTAGTTAATTATCTTGCATTATTGCATACAAACTGACTTGATTTGGGATTTTTATTTTCAATTTCTTTTTTTTTGGGGGTGTGTTGTAGGGGGCGAGAGGCGGAGGGAGGGATACTGAGTTCCATAGGCAATGTAACCGAGGCGATCAAGGAGAAGTTCTCCACGGGGACCACCACGGGACCCAAGGAGACGGTGGAGCATAGGAGGTACGTGGCCGGAGGCGGCCCCGAGCACGGAGGGGAGGAGGCTGATGTGGCAGTGAGGCTGAAACAGTCGGAGCAGATGCACGGGCAAACTTTCAATGACGTTGGTCGGGTGGAGGAGGGGGAGGAGGAGGGTGGCCGCGGGGAGCGCCACGGCAAGATGTGAGTTCTTGGATCTTGCTGTGTGTATTTGGTTTGTTTGTTTAGTTGTTGTGGTATTTTGCTTGTGAGGTGGTTGATGCCCCATATATGTAATGTGTGTTGAAGTTTTGTTGCGTCCCATGATGATGGGTACTGATGACAGTGAGATGTAAACAAATCAAAGTGCTTACTGCTCAGTATTTCCAGGTATCTTGCTTATATTTGGTCAGTACCCGCAGATATCTTGCATATAATATTTGATGGTAAATGGAAGTTTCTGTCATTATCTATTGCCCTCTCAGTGAGTAACGAGATATTACGTTACTGACATCAGCTATCCAAACGGAATTGATTGATGCATATAGACCGGTCAAAAGTGGATTGCAAACTGCAAAATGCAAAATTGCTTCTGAACTGCGGGAGAAATAAAAATGCGAAGCCTCCTTTGAATCTCTATCCAAATTCCCTAATGTCGCCCCATCTCTCCCGAGGATCTCTCTTCCGAAGCTCTATAGGAGTCGATGCAAGGGACCAAGTTGTCACGAATAGTTCCCCAACTTCCGTATATATGTAGAATCGAATTCGAATTTGTTCTAATATTCAACTCGAATATATGTAGAATCGAATTCGAATTTGTTCTAATATTCAACTCGAACTCGAATACAAAGTCGAACATCACAAATCTGAACCGAATTTGAATTCAAATGTTATGATGTTCAATTCGATTCGGTTCATTTCCACCCCTAAATTAGTACAACTTCGCAAGATAAGAAAATGAAGATTCAAACTCCGCTTTCCCACAGGCTGATCAATTTGGGTCCAAAAATGAGGACAAGATTCATAGAGTTGTTACAACACAAACAAAGCTGCGATAATCACACTGCCACAACTAGAGTAATAGAATAGATGATAATGCGTCTCAACACAATCTGCAATTAACTGGTAGCATATATGACAGTAGAATAGCATGTATAGGAATACTGTTGGTAGCCGAAATAAAATTTAGTACTACATTGCATACTAAAGTTTCTTAATAGGAAAAGGAAAAGGAAAAAAAAAGCTGAGCAAAATACTTCCCACGGAGATTTTGAGGTCCCACAGAATGTAAATCCCAAAGGCATAAACATATCTTGCTGGTGGCAAACTCCGCTCAACACCGAGTAAACAGCAACGTCCTAGTTCTGTCAAAACTCCCAGGAATTTTCAACCCTAGCACATATAAAAATTAATACAAAATGATGTCATTGAAAATTCCTAATACGTAAGAAATACACGTATCAGTAAAAGGTTGGAGGTTATTTCTATGGAGGGTAAAATATGGAAGAACCCGTAGTAAAGACACCAGCTAGGAGAATTTGATAAGACAAAGGCTCTGTTTGGCAAAACTAGCTGAAAGCTGCGAGATTATAGCTGAAAGCTGTCAAGCTAGCTGAAAGCTGTGAAATTATAGCTGAAAGCTGATAGCTGTGTAGCTAGCTGATTGACTAGAGCTGTTTGGCAAAAAAAGCTATACAACTAGCTTAAATTTGTTAAATGACTAAAAAGGTCATGCAATATTATTAATATAAAATTAAAATTATTAGGGACAAAAACGGAAGAAAAAAATTGACAGCTCCTTCCCAAAGACGAACGCTACTTGAGATAGCTTTCCAAAAGCTACTTGCAAAAGACACAATCTCCAAAATAATCTTCTCCTATTTTTGGTCACCAAACAGCTCTACTAGCTTATTGACCAAGTCAATAAGACACAAGCTCTTAGATAATACACTTTTTTTGGTTGCCAAACAGTGCCAAAGGCTAATAGTAAACAAATTTACATTTCCACTAGCTATCATCTATACACATATAGATGTTACAAGGATATTTGCTCTTGCCAACAACTTTGAAAACAATGAATTTCTGGACTAGTCCCGGGACAGGGAGCCAACACCTCACCTGTCCCACTCAGGGTCCCCTATTATGGGGTCCCTGAGGCATTTTTCGTCCAAGAAAACATGGTTAGAAGTAATTAAGAAGTAATTAACAGAGCTAAGTTGAAAAATGGGATTCATATAGCGAGGGGCTATAGGTTTAGTTTGAAATTCATTGGGCTTCAACAAATTTGAGATAACGGTAATCTAAAGCAAGCATGGTACAAATGTATTTCCATAAAGGGCATAGATGAAGTAAAATCTGTGTCCTGGAGGATACCTTGCTAGCAATGTTGCTGGAGAGCCAATCAAGTCCTTCATACAACCCCTCACCAGAAGTAGCACAGGTGCTCTGGATGTACCTGAGAGACCACACGCATACTTAGCATTATTACCCCGTCACAGGATCATCGTATGTATAAAATTTATCTATCGACTTAATACATAGCATTCAAATGTCGGCATGTATCTAACTTTTGAACTAATACAAACACTGTGTTTGAACAACCACAACCACATTCAGATGTCACCATCAAATAATGTATATTTTCCTGAAGTTATATGAATGAACAGTCAGCAGTTTAGCGTGCATTTTTGTCAAGAAATGGGATAAATTATGTTAAAACACAAAATTTATCAAATGTGTCCGTCAGATAGAGTTAGATATCTTATTAGTTATACGAACCAACATCACCAGATAGAAATGCATTTTGTTGTTGGGAAATGGGATATATGCATCTACGCATCAGATATATGTCCAAGAAACCGTGAATGTTTTAAACTAAAACATGTACTGTATAATTGGGCACGTGTCTACACAAATGTATGTATATACTTAAGAAGTGTCCAAGGAGTGTCCAACACAGACAGATACGGGAGCCAAGGTAACCTACTGAATACACACTAATTACCCATTTAATCACCACTATAACCTCACCATTAATCCCTTTAATATACTCATTAATATGAAATTAAGCCATCTAACCCTTGAGTTTCAATCATAAG